GAGCATAACCTCTCAGTCCTACAATGAGGATAGAAAGGACAGGAGCCTTTTTCTGGTCACCAAGACCCTGTAGCTAATCCCTCAGTTCTGATCGTCAAGGAAGATCCATAAAGGATAAGCTTGGGAGCTGAAACTGGTAACTTGGTTGAGACAGTGGTCTTACAGCGTTTTATGGTTTTCCTAGCAATCCCTCTTCAACCCAGCTCCTCACTGTTTGGTGTTAACTGCCTGCCTTTCCCTGTTTCACAGTGAGGATATGAACTTTATCACTTTCCTCTTGTTAATTCCCTCGCCCATTCCAGTTAATTGTTAACTCCTCTTTTTTGATAAAGTGTCTGATTGATTGACATAATAATAAATTAAGCTCAGACCATTCTCTCCCAACCTGTCTGTAGTCTGAAATTTGCTGTTTCTCTTTCAGATTTAAAGAAAGGGCTTTGAGTGCCTTAAATCTTGCCTGTTCTTTCACGTTTATCAGTTGATGTATTAAAAGATGTACCTTCTCCAGCAGATGGCAACACACTTCTAAATTATTTACAGAACAGATGAGAGGTAGGACTCGTTCCTGTGCAAGTCAGATGGGAAATGAATTTCTCTTTGAGAACGGGGCTTAGTGCAATACAGGTGCTTGTCTTTCCTTGGAACATTTAAGAAAATATTTTCTGAGCTAGTGACATTGTCATGTCATTTAAACTTATTATTCTGTAGTCTTAAATTGTTGTAGCTCTTTGCCTCCCCATTTAATTAGAGTGGCAGTAAGCAGATGAACCAGAACATCTCTGTGCATCTCCCATGGCATGCTCTTATTTTGAAGAAGCACTAGGGTAATTCAAAGGCCAGGATAGTGAGAGCTGCATTAAATGTTGTTTCTCTCCCTTTTTTTTTTGTTTTATTTTCCCAAAAGGTATTTCAAAACCACGCATCTCCAGTTCACACCAGAAGTACCCATTAGCTGTTCTAGAATTGTAAAGTATTTTTGTTACTGTGAACTCAGAAACTACAGAGTTCCTATCAATGAAGAACTCTGTATTGGAAAGCAAATACTAGAATATTTTTTCCTTTGATTTCAGTTGTAGTAATTTTTCTGTCAATAACCACAGCCTGATTTTTCACTGACTTTTGTGTTGTGGCTGTTTCTGTCTCTGTGAAGTTTATAGAAAATGATATGAAGAAGCATTTGACATCACTTCCTGCACGTTGCAGTGACCAGACAAGGCACACTGCAAGGGAAAACTGGGCTCAGGCTCTTGTCTTCACCCTTTTGTCTGTCACTTCTTTTAACTGGTAATTACGCTTGATTTTTCCCAGGGAGGATACTCACTCAGGTGCATGACAAAACACTGGGTGACTCAGTACTGGTTGTCTCATTGCTTATGACTATGAATGCAACCAGCTGGGCAGCGGCTGTATCTTTATTTCTTCAGCGTATCCCTTGGCATCGCGGGACCCGGGTTGCTCAGGAACCTGCACTCCAGTTTAGCCCCGCTCTTAGTCTTAGATCCCCGCTCACCAGCCCCAATGCACAATGACATTGTCACCTGTTCTCACCGTCCCCCCATTTCTCATCATTTAAGATTTTTCTTGCACAGCACCACAAAAGGATTCAGAAATGTGATCCAAGGGCACCGCTTGCAAAGGAAGCATACTGACATACGCAGCCCACCTGCACAAATGCAAGCAACGCTGAAGGCTGTGTTTGCTCACTACTGTGTTAAGAGTGGCTGATAATTTTTTCCCTCTCTCTTGGTAAGAAGGGAGCCCTAATATTTTTAAAACTGAGTTCTGCCAACTCCCGTAACATGAGATACTTTTTCTGAGGCAATGTGAGTAGATCGGTAGGCTTTGCAAAAACAATAGTGGCTTCCAGTCTGTGACTTTCAGACAAGACTCGGAAGCAGAATATAAGCCAGGTACACAGAAGACAGCGTTGTCAGAGGTGAAGACTAAGAGATTGTTGGAGGTGAAATATTTCTCAGGAGCCCATGAAGTCAGGACCAGTAGCTGCAAAAAAAGCCCAGTCTCACAATTTCCCAAAATTATAACACTGCATTTCAGAAGGGAAACTATGTGGAATAGTTTGAGCTGATCCATAATTTTGTCCCCACAAGGGACAAGCCCTAGTTTCCTCCTCATCCAAATTGGTTTATGTACTGGTCTTAATTTGGTCAATAGGTGAATTTCTCCTTCCACATGAGCAGTGAGAAAAATGGCTATAATTATTAGAAATGGGAAGAAAAGGAAGTGTCTTCATCTAAATGACTGTTTCTTTTAAAAACAAGACTTGTACAGATGTATAAAGTTTGCTTGATGGTAACAATCACACACTGCCTAAATATATAGATTTATTTCCACTGTAAATCACTTCATACTCTAATGGAGCAGCTTTTCTATTTCATTTTAGAAGCTACACATGATAATGCAGCTCAGCTGAGTAACAGCTAAACGTTAACAGTACCTGAAATCTATATTTGATCTGCCTGAAAAGAGTTTAACCCTCTGCACTTAATTCCTGGTGGATGGGAATTCACATCATGAGAAAGACCATCATAATTTGTACTAATTATAATTCTTGGGAGAGAGGCCAAATACAGCCTTGCAGACTGTGTATTTCCCACTCAGACACAGCTGATTTTGGCAGAGGAGCATGTCAGGCAAGCAGCATGCAGTGGGGCTTTCCTGCTGTGCCTGCTACCTACGTGGCAGAGCTGGTCCCTGTGGCTGTCGGTTCAGCAGCTCAGGGAATGGGACAGAGTTGCACTGCAAAAAACCCTAAACTGTACAAAAAATCTAGAAAACCGAAAATGTCTGACTCCTCCCTGTGTTGTGAAACTAAACTTGCATCTTCAGTTCACTGTCAGGAGCAAGGCAAGACCTGAGAAATGAACCCATGGGAGCTGCCCTGTTTGTTTGCTTAATCACTTAGTTTAAATATAGATTAAAAATCACTTAAGCTCATTGACAAGTTGTGTGTGCCAGCCAACGGCTGTCAGAAGCTGCAAGGAAAAAAGAGCATAGTCTCAGAGCATGGTCTCAGAAGGAAGAAATTTTAGGAGAGGAATGAGAGAAAAAGAGTGGAGTGGGGCAACAGTGTATCTTCTTAAGGGACATCCATTCCCAAGTAAACAGTATACAGGAAACAAGAACTGTCAGCTTCATCTCTTCCCACTGCTACTGCTAACAGCGAACAATTTGGTGAATAATCCCTCATTTACATTCATTTCTTCTGATTGAATGGAAATGTCATAGTTCACAGAATGTTAGCCTGTGTCTGAAGTGCACCGAAAAAGCTCTGCAAGGTCCTCACTTGATGTGCTGCCTGCCCTGGGGTAGTGTGTCCTTGCCTGTCTCATTGGAGGCAGAGCCACACCTCACACGTTGCAGCACTTTTTGCCTTTTCTGGAGCAGTTCAGCTGTTCACCTGGCTCTGAACGAGCACTGAAGAGCATGGCACCAGAAAAGGCTAATCTAATACAAGCCAGTCCCTTGAGACTGCAGCCACTTGCTGTAGTAAGACTATCTGGCACATGTTTTAGCAGCAGTCTGATTTCTAATACCATCCCCTTTTTTTTGTAGCTGTAGAAATTTAAGGCTGTGCTTTAGTAAAAACACAGAAGGGGTTGATTAAAGCAAACTGCTAGAGAAAACTGCTAAGAAAAAGCCTTCTTCCTTCTTGTTCCCAGGAAGCTTGTGGGCTGTCTCCAAAGAGTGGTTATGCTTTGTCCACTGAATCTGAAGGGTTGCAGCGCTTGTGACTTTCTGTCAACCATAGGGAAAAGCATTCTAGACTGTGCCTGGCTTAAAGATGTCTTCTCAAGTTTAGTGTTAATACAGGTGAAACACCTGTGTATCTTAGTGTGGATGCAAACCACAGCAAGACACAAGCTCAGGAACTGCTAATCAGAGTCTCCTTGCAGCACAAACCTGCCTAGTGCAGACAGGTCTCCCTTGCTGAGAGCACCATGAAGGACAGCATGGTAACTAAATTAGTGGTGTTCATAGACAGCCGGAGTTTAGCTCCTCCATTAGGACACAGATCCATGTTCAAAGCTGATGTTGCAATACTGGGTATTGCAGGCATTAATATTTTCCCTCTAGTGTTTTCAATCACTTGGAGGTGCTATGGCTGGTGTGCAATGATTGCTGCGATAGTGTGGCCACATCTCTCCTTTTAAGTGGTGTGCTCCCAGCCTTCTGTTTGTTTAGTCCTACTTCTTTAGACAGGAGGCTCCTGAGGGCAGGGATGGAGCCGTCTTCTCAGCTGCCAAGGGCACAGTGTGGTTTGTGAGCTACCAAAGGTGAATATGAAAAAAGGCAACAAGCTGGGAACTCCTGCACATGTCCATGCAGCTGGAAAAATACACTCTGTGGCTTTTGTCAGCATAAAGCAAGAGCTTGGCTGGATCAGATAAATGCCTGTAATGACAATCACACAGTTAACAGATGTGATGTATTTCGGGCATTTGTTTTTCATTGTCCCTCGGAATATTGACCAGTGCTGTTGGCTTTATTCCTGTCCTGATTTTATGGCAGAAATCACAGATGCCCCAGGTGGGGCAATGGCCCTGCTTCTTTTGAAAAGGAAGCAGGAGGGGGACGGATGGAATGCAGCTTTCCCATGTGTGCACGACACAGAGCACGGCGTGGCACCCACCGAAATTCCGAGGGCAGGAGCTGCTCGGAGGGCATCGCGGCGGATGGGGGTGCAGGACCGGGGCTCTCGCCCGCGGGACGAGGCGGGAGGAGGCGACTGGGCTGGGCAGGGGTGAGCCAGGCCGCCTCCCGGCGGGGCGGACCGGGGCGGGACTAGGGAAATAGGGACCGGTTTTGTGCGTAGGGTGGCAGGTGTAGTGATGAGGAGCGAGGCTCGGCGGGCTGGAGAAGGTGGCCCCGCACGGCAGCCCCGACAGCGGCCCGCTCGCACGGGATGGCAGTGACCTCGCCGCGCTGTTCCCGTCGCTGAGTGCTGTGGAGCCTCCTCTGCCAGTGCCATTGCAATTGCCATGCCTCCCCAGGAGCTCCTGGATTACGCGCCCGCCCTGCGGAGACACAGCCCGCCCAGGGGCAGCGGCCCGGAGCTGGGCATCAAGTGTGTGCTGGTGGGCGATGGCGCCGTGGGCAAGACCAGCCTGGTGGTCAGCTACACCACCAACGGGTACCCCGACGAGTACCAGCCCACCGCTCTTGACACCTTCTCCGGTAGGTGCCCTCCCGGGCTGCGCGGGGTCTGGGGCGGCGGGGGATGATCCCCATCCGACGCGGCATCGGGACGAGCGGGGCGGATCTGAGCGCTCCCAGTGCCGCAGCTGCCGGCGGTGCTGCGCGCCGGGTGCTCTGCGGTCAGCGCAGCCCGGGGGCCCACAGCCCGAGGGCGTTTCTGTGACTCGGACCGACTCCTTCGGGCATTTTCGAGGTTTAGCAGATGGAGGTCCTGCGTTCTGCAGCTCTGTGTCAACCCAGCGTGTATCGAGTTGGTTTGCAAGTGCCATGACCTTGGGGCGCCTTCCTGGTTTTGTGGTGTTGTTATGACTAAATAGATGGGGGCTTAATTTTTTCATTATTGTCGTTTGTGGTGGTTTTAGCTTCAGAAATATCACAGCATTGCACTGTAGGCTTTGTAGCTTCAACTGACATTCAGGAAAACCATCCTGTTCCCCACGTGTGTGCTGAAGTTAGCATTGAAGAGAAGTTGGCAAAAAGTTGAAGAGCTTTGTAAGTCAGGCTAGAATTGCCTTCCCTTTCAGCTGATGAGCTCTCATTAGTTTCCACTTTTCTAAATGCTATCTTTGTTCTTGTTCTACATTCCTCTTCCTTTGGGCTCCGATTTCTAATATAAACCCCAGAAGAATACAAAGCCCTTTGAAAGATTTCTTATCTTTATTTGATATGAAGAAACACAACAGTCCTTGATAATACAGATTGGTAGATTAGAGATGTGCTCGAGTCAGACCAGGAATGAGACATCTAATGTGTCATAGTCTCAGGGTGCTTAGAGGGAGTGTTTTGTTTGTCTGAATGTCCCCCCACTTGCTCAGTTTTATACTGGGAATTGTTGATTGTATGGTTTGGGCTAAGAGAGGCTTAAAATTACTGTTATTAGCCTGCACATTTTTTTGAAAGGGCAAATCCATAATAAAATTATCCAGAAAGGTGAAGGCAGCATGAGTGCAGAGATGCCCACATTAGCAATAGGCAATCTGAAAATAGCTGCACGTGGGTTTAGCCCCAGTCTGGATGTCCCAAGTACTAGGCCTGCCTTCAGAGGTGCATAGGATTTGCTACTGATAGAAATCAAAAACATTAAAAATAGGTATTCTGAAGTTCAATTTCTGCTTCTTGTGAGGAAATGGGAGAATAGATAAGTTTCCCTTTTCACCCCTGCTCTTAACCTGAATAAATCTGAGGAAAGTCCCTTCCTGGATTCAAAAATTATGGTTCAGGATCCACTTCAGAAATTTCAACCCAATTCCTCCCACTCTTGGGGAATACCTGCAATTGCAAGTGCCAGCAGAACTGAGCAGTTTACATCCTGACTTTAATCCTGGTCATGGGACTGTGATGCCAATAACAAGATAGGGCAAGGTATTGCATTATTAGGGAAACGGCTCTGGGACAGTGACCCAGCCACATACATCTCTGGGTGCTACCTCCTGCTGGGTGTCACTGCCAGGTAGAGCAGCCTTGGGTGAAACGCGTACTCAGTGACCTTTCTCCACCAGGCTATCCTGTTCTGCCGGCCCCTTCGCTATTGTACCATGATCCATCCTCATCCTGAGGGCGCGGACCTTGTGAGGGCGGTATTTGGAGGGGTGTTGCAGAGTTGCTAGTGTAGCTCAGGCTAGCAGGAGATATGACAAAACTTCGTGCAAACACTGGAGCGGTAGGTAATATATGTGGTGCCTGTCTTCTGAAGACAGCAAAACATTTCAGAGATGCTAATTCCTTCTCTCAATGCACTTATGAGACAGAGGAAACCAGATACTAGAAAGGCAAATGCCTGCTGCCTTGAAGATCAAGTCAGGATCTAGCAGGTTCTTTGATCAGGAACAGGTTTCTCTTCCTCCTCTGGGGCAAAGATATGGTAACAACCCAACTTTTTCCCAGTCACAAGGAAGCAATGACTTTCAGCTATGCCGTGAGGAGTGGCACTGTGGTGGACGCACCCACCCCTTCATTTTTCCTCCAGTCTCCCACCAAACTTCAGGCCATCTTTTGTCTGTGTCTCCCTCTTCCTCCCCCTGCCCCCCCCCCACTGCTTTCAGGGAGGAGTGTTCTCCTTCAGAAGCTTGTGTTAAACTCTCTGAGTCAGTTGTTTCTATCAGTTTTCTCACCTGACTGATTACTTCAAGAATTCCAAAAACTTGATCTGGCTTCTGGTTGGGAGTTTTTTTGTTTGCTTTTGCTTTTGTTTTTAATGAAGAAGACAATAAAACCTCCTCTTTGCACAGAGAAATGGAGTTTTGCTAGCTCGTGTCAAGTGCCAGCCATTGTCACCTTAGCCTCGATGTCTGCCTCTATTCACCCAACCACAACCCCATCCACTTTGTCTGGACTTTCAAGTGACTTCCAGCTCCCTAGCCATTTTCTCCTTTTCCTCAATTCCTAACCAGTCTCTGTGGTATCTATGTGCTTAAACATCTAACAGTTTCATTCCAGATTTCCATCAGAGGTCCTGCCAGCCCTCAGTCTGAGTCAGCTGATACCACATGAAGGCTTACTGTGATTAGGGAGTGAAATGGGAGCAAACTTTACATGTGTAACTAAGCAGTTTTCCAGTTTTCAGTGTGTGGATAGTCTCTAAAGGGGATGTCACTCATCACTGTTTTCTTAATAACTTCTTCATTTCAAAGATGGGTTTAGGTCTTTGTTTTTCCTTAGCTAGGACACTCACAGAATTTTTTTTTTAAAGACAGATTTCTGGTCTGAATGGGAAAATCTCTCAATAGCTTGTTTGAGAGTGATTTGAGTTTCCTTGGCCAAGAAGCTAGGAGCAAGCTGCTGAAGTTCTCAGTTTGTTTTTATCCTTCTTTCCTGTGTTGTGGAAGAAGGATGAGTGGTTAATGAGGACACTGTTTGGCTAAGGGTTCCTCTTCTCTAGAGGAACAGTTGCTCAGTAATGTGGAACTATTCTTTCGAAATACTGGACAAGTACACAAAACACCTGAGAGCCAACAAAATCAGAAGGTCTGTTGCAGGTCTCTTAATGTTCCCAGTGCAAGCTTCAGCTGTTTTAGGGAGGTCTGGGAGGACGGTCAGCTAGGAGGACAGACTTAAGTGACTTCAGTGAGTCTGTTCAATGGGATACGACCCACAGTGCTTGGGAATGGCCCGTAAAAGTGTGTGTGTGAATGCTGATCAACTGCTTTAGATTCATCCTCATTCTCTTTCTGCTACAGTGCAGGTCCTTGTGGATGGAGCCCCTGTCCGGATTCAGCTGTGGGACACTGCTGGACAGGTAAGCTCTATCAAAGCATATTCCAGTTCTGATCCTGTGGGACAGGGACTGTTGCAGGCTTTGAGGAAGGCAGTGTTGAACTGGGAAGAAAGGAAATGCACTAGCCCAGCACCAGCCATTTGGTGAATGGCTCTGAAACTTGTGTCTGAAACGTGGCATGGCCACAAAATCAGCACAATGCTCTGCCTCTGAGGGTCTTTCTATCCTAGTTAACATGTGGAAAAGCTACTGAAGTATCATGCTGTTAGAAGATCAGTCCAGTGAAGACTTCTTTGTTCTTCCCCCCTCTTCTGTTTTCCCCCCTTCCTTTTCTACAGGAGGACTTTGACTGTTTGCGTTCTCTTTGTTATCCTGACACCGACGTCTTCCTTGTCTGCTTCAGTGTGGTAAACCCAAGCTCCTTCCAAAATATTACTGAGAAGTGGATCCCTGAGATACGAACTCACAACCCCCGGGCACCAGTGCTGCTAGTGGGGACACAGGCAGACTTGCGGGACGATGTCAATGTCCTCATCAGCCTGGATCGCTACCATGTGAAGCCTGTGCCCCGGCCTCAGGCGGAAGGTCTAGCTGACAAAATCCGGGCTGAAGCCTACCTGGAATGCTCAGCACTGACTCAAAAGAACCTCAAAGAAGTTTTTGACATGGCCATTGTCAGTGGTGTTGAGCACAAAGCACGGCAGGAAAAGAAGATGACTGCCAAAGGCATCAAGACTCTCTCCAAGTGCCGGTGGAAGAAGTTCTTTTGCTTTGTCTGAAGCCGCTTTAAAGGAAGGGGAAAGAAACACCTAAAGCCAGTATTGGCTCTGCACCTTCTTGGAGTGACTGCTCCTATGGCCCCAGCAAGGAGGGTATGATAAGCTGCTGGGCTTGGAAACCTGTGTCTTGCTGGGTACAGTATCAGATGCCTGGGAGACATGAACTAGATTGCCACTGTGCCAAGATGTAGAATGGTCCAGGCAGCTATAATACCTGCTGGACATGTCTGTAGTGTCCCAGACTAAGGGGAGCCTTTAATACATGAAGACTCAGTACCCCAGAACAGGCAGGTTCCTTACATTGTTCAAAATGACCAGTTTCCTGGTCGAAGCTCACACACTTTTGAAGTTCTGATGCAGCATAATAAATGTGGGGGACTTTCGAAATCGGCCTGTGTTTTGGCTGATTTACAGGCTTGGCAGAGAGTAGGGCAGGGGCGACTGCAATGTGGTCAGACATGGGCTGCAGAGTTTGTAACATGAGACTTGGGTTCCCCCTCTGATTCTGTTTGCCAAAGTAGGTAGAAGTTACATGGCTGTGAAAAAGCAGCACTCTTTCTTAAAGGCCCTCTATTGAGAGTACCCTTGAGAAGGTATTTCCTAAATAAATGCCATTAGCAGGCTGAAGAGAAAATGGACTGGGAGCTACAGTAATACTTTGAGCAAAACTTTTTTTGAGAGGACTGTCTACTGGGGGCCAGTGTTATAGTCCTATCTTAAGAGATAGTTGTGAACTTGGGGACCTACTTCGAAAGGCTTTTTGTGTGTGTGGTGTTTTGAGAGAAAGAACAGGTGAGGAACAGTGATGAGCGGCTCTGTCTAGCAGCGACAAAACTGTCAGCAAAGGCTTTATAACACTACCAGGGGGTGGTAATGCATGTAATGAAAGAACAGAGAAGGAAGAAAAAGAAGAGAATAAAAAGGAAAAAGATGGAATGGAGAAAGGGAGATGGAAAAGGAAAGAAGAATGAATGTTATTAAATGAAAGTTGTGATTCTACTTAGCTGAGATCCTAATATTCAGGGAATATTCTAGGGACCTGAAAAATTTGCTAGTGGTATCAATTTCAAAGTAATATTATCCATACATTCAGTTCAGAATCAAAAGGAGGATGTTGTAGTGAGAGTTCCTCTTCATCAGTAAAATCCTCCATTTCAGATCTACACAAGAGAACAGAACTTACCTTGTACAGTTCTTCCTGAGGCTGCAGAACAGGAAGGGAGGGTATAGGGCTTATTTCTGTTGTGCTTCCATTTCTTAAAAGTCACTGCTTTATCTGCTGAAATCAAAAGCAAAGGCAATCCATGAAGTTTCTGCTGGAGAAAAACATTCACTGTGTTTGCTCCCTTCCCCTCTCAGCTGTTTCTCAGGGGATTAATATCCTTGTGGCTCTATTCACATTTTATTACAGAACTTTCATCAATTTCTAAATCTTCATTTGCAGAGACATTTCATTTTGGTTTATGTAGCAGAGGGTGTGACAGGTCTGTCAAGCAATAATTTCAATACTCAGGGGGTTCTCTGCATCTGGCCATGACCCATCACTTTCGGAATGCTCTGGAGTGATGTGACAGAAAGAGATACAGCTATGGATGGTTTGCCCTGGTCCAAAAGCAAGCTTACACGAGCTAGTGAGCCTGTAAAAAGACAAATGCAAGTAATGCAGTCTGGCTCTAAAGAAATGCCTGCAAACATCTCTCACAACTATCTCTTTTTGTGGTGCAGCTCACATAGTCCCTAGGACATGAGACAAGACTGCTGTCTCCCTGGGCAGTATTGCAGGATGAAAGAGGTGGATGAGTTTTCCTGCGAAGGGAAGTTGCCCACAGACTTGGAGCTACTTGAAGGGTAAAGCTTCGAGACCTGAAAAGGATGGTGTAGCAAAATAAGCTGAATGTTGAAAGGACTCCTCCTACTGAAATGCCATTCAGGTCCCGGAGGAGTCCTAAGAGGTGGTGAGTATAGAGGCAGTAGCTAGGAGTGACATGTCTGACAAAGGTTTAGGTAGGACACCACTTCCTGAACAAAGCCCTCAGCAATGCATCCCTGCATGTATTCCTACCTGTACAGGCACCTTTGCTGTATGACTAGTTCAGTTTGTTGGGTCTTTACACATTTCTTTAGCCTGTGAGACCGGGAGCTGTGGTGTGACCTGCCAAAGAGCATGCCATACCCCTTTGGAGAAAATCCACAGGTGGAAAGAGCACCAACCTCTCTCCTGCTGAGGAGAGCAAGGGTTGTCCTACAGTAGCTTGGTATGAAACAGGGATTATTTCATTCTGGAAAAGAAACTGTACTAAGAGCTACTTTCTTCCTCTGTGATTGCATCTAATATTTGGTAAAATAAATTTTTTTAATGTCCACAATTTGTGTTTGTAATTTTGTCAGTGCAAATCAAGTTGGGCTTTAACATGGAGGAAGAGTTATTCCATTTTACTGACAATAGCATAAGAGGGAAAATAGCCTCAATTCTCACTCCATGTCCTAACCACCATTAGCAATGGTAAAAATCGCCTCATACCTGAAACCTTCCTAGTTCCTTCTGTCACCTCAGTTAATCTTTCTCTACCTCAGCAGCCACTCAGGGTGAAAGTTCCTGGGGGGGATGGAGTAGCAAACATCCAAAGATTTCAATGCCTCTCCCCAGAAGCCACCATCCAGGGGTCAGTCAGGAGGCCCTCCCAGCACTCTCTGAATCAAGCCCATGTAGGACTTGCATTTGGAGCCTTAATAACAGCATGCTGCTCTGTCATTAGGCTGGTGGGTAATTTAGCAACCAGTTTTATTTAATGTACCTTGGTAGTTAAACACTGTTCAAGTGCTGAAAAATTTTGCCTGTGTCACACGGGATGCAAAGGTTCCATCCAAGACAGTTCACAGGACTCCTCCTTTTAGCCCCATCTTCAGCATCACAGATAGGTCAAGACCCCTGCCTGTCCACATCTGGGCTCCCATAGCTGCTCCAAAGGCAGAGGACTGGGAAATGAGGCTGCTGAGGGTGCAGTGTGGTGGTTCAGCAGAGAGCTAGGAGAGAAAATAGACAAAACCCCCAAAATGTCACAGAGGTAATGAGCAAATAGGATTCAGAAATTAGAAGAGAATAAGAAACTAATGCCAACAAAACACGATTGGGGAACTTGTGTTTTGTGTGGGGAGGTTGTTGTGGGGTTTTGGGGGTAGTAGTGTTTTGTGATTGTTTTTTGGTTTATTTGTCGTTGGGGGGTTTTTTTGTTGTTTTTTTTGCTTTTGTTTAACAAAGTCTGAAATCACACTGTCCTCCTGCAATCAACTGTTTGCTAGATGTAAAGTAACCTGTGGGAATATTTGGAACAAGCTCCCAGCTTTGCAGCTTCCTGGCACTAAAGCTTACAGAAGAACCTGTGAATGGAAATAGCAGCAAAGTGTGAATTAACTTTACTGGGGAGTGAGTCATTCCACTGAGCCATATCCTGTCATGTGCACAATAAGCACTCTAAAACTCCCTGAAACCGGTGAACAAAGCTGAACTCCTGGGTGGGGGTGTGAATCTATCTCGTTAAATGGAGTTTCCTACTAAAGCCACCTGAAGTGTCTGTAAAGCCTTGCTCTAGTCCTCTCCGTGGTGCAGTACTGGATCTGTGCTTTGGTAGTTTGGGCTTGTTTCTGCCTTGCAGTGTTGGTTGACCAACCTGTATTTTCAGATGCTGCTGGGAGCACAGGGAAGTTCCTGGGATATGGTTGCTAACACAAACTGCCCCACCAAGCTGGATGAAGCTAGCTCAGCCCATTACTAGGCCAGCACAATTCCTCACAAGTGATGCCTGCTTTTATACCAGAAAGGATCCGTATGATTAGTTGATCTGACTTGCTCCATCAGAGCATGTTCAGCATCAGATGTTAAAAGTACCTCCTTTCTTTCTCAGGACTCTAACTTGGATCCTGGACAGCAAACTCCTTCACAGTCCTTGCATCCAGCAGAGTAACTGATCAGGGATTCCCACCTGCATAGGCAACACTGCAAGTACTTCAGGTACATACCATGTTGCATAAATCCATATGAAAGCCAGTGTGCTTGCTGCCACTCTCAGCTGCCATCTCCAAAGGAGCTGAGCTCAGGTGTCAGCAATGGTAGGAACACGGTATGGAAAGGAAGGACCCTTTAGTTTCCTTTTTCAGTAGGTAGCACACCCTAAATAGGCTTAATTATGCCAAGAAGGTTCCCAGCTGGCAACACTTTCCTGAGCTTCCACTGAACCCTGACTGGGAATTAATCCCCAAAATAATACCAAGTTTCGTCTGACTCAGCACAGCCTCCTTCCAGCATCAGAAGGGCAGGTCTAAAAGTCCTTTTGGAGATCTTTATGCCCTGTAAGTTACATCCTACTTACTTTGAAGGGACAGGCTGAATTATTATGAAGTGAGCTGAGGAGAGTCCAGCAGGAGCATCCCTGCTGAAACGCAATTACCTGTGAATGGCATCCTCTCCCATTTCCTGAGAGGGGTGCGATTGCATTAACAACCTTATCACTTTCTTAACACCCCTCAATATAATCCTCAGGTGCTAACCGGCTTTTTTCTTCAGATTGCTCCAAGTTTAATGCTATGTATGAATTAAGCAACCATTTCCAGCTTGGAAGCAGGGTCTGGCTTGACTTTTCTCAGCTGTAGTGGCAGCTAAGTAATCTGCTTCACCTTTGTTCTTAATACCCCTCTGCTAGGTTGGCCCCCTCCTGTGGTCCTCTCTGCAGCCTCTCAAAGAGCAGCATGGGAACACCAGAGGAGCAGGAGAGAGTAGAGACATTGCTTAAACAGACACTGTCATCACAAGGAATGTTTGTCCTGTCACAGACAGTGTGTTAATGGAACTGCTGCTCTTCCATCCTGCTGAGAGGTCCCCTCTGCCCAATATGCTGTCCTTATGATCTGCTTATACATCTTGGCTCTCCTTTACAGCATTTCTTCTCCTGGAGCCCTGCTAAATCACTCTGTAGTGAAGCTGGGAGATAAAGCAGATATACAAA